CTGCATCCTCAGATAACACCAAATCCATTTCGGCCATTTTTACCAGCCCGTCCACGCTGGCGGCCAGATACGCCTTCCTTTCCTCTTTACTCATCTTCTTTATGGCCTCAGCTTCATGGGCGACCACTGTCGGAGGGAATCGCTCGAAAAAACCCGCCTCTTCGAAGCAAGGGGGGAAGGCAAAGGATTGAACAGCACCGGCATCCTCCCCGACAGTTGAACCGCCTTCCACGCGGGTCCTCTTCCTCTGCGTCAAAACGGCGCTGGGGTCAATCTCCTCGACCTCTGGATCTGACGCGGGTCCCGAGCTCGACGTCGAGTCCACCCTCACCGGCTGAGGAGCGTTCGGACTTTGTGGGGGTCCCATTCTCGTCGTCTGCGGGGCCTTCACGACCCTCCTGCCTCGCCTCTGGTCGGTTGACAGTTTCAGGAGCCTTTCATGTCGCCTAGCCATCGTACCTGCACGAAATAAAGGAAAAGTCAGTATCGAGCAAACTGCATGAATAAATGACGAATAAAGAATTTCAAGCAAACAACCTAACAGGCGGGTAGCCTGCCTGTATGTCGGACATTCCACCAGCGCCTTGGTGTCGATCGGGCGAGACTCGAACGTCGGGTAACCGTCTTTGTCGAGGATATCATACCCTTCCCGCGTAACCCATTGGGCGGGATGAAAACTGTCGATAAACCGGCAAAGAGCCTCGTACGCCCGCTGATCTTCCGAGCACATGTCCCCGACAGCGGTATGGAAATAACCTGTCCCATGCTCATAGTGTCGGGACATCCAGTACACTTGGAACTTAGCCCTACGACCTAACACGGGGCTCCCGTCGTCGGCCACCATCGCTTCCCCATCATCGTCGCTCACTGGCCCCTCCTCCTCAAAGAGGGAATCTAAAGCAGAGTCGGTAATTGGACGTACCACATACCACTTATCTTTAAACCCCCTCACGGAGTCCATATACATCTTAAACAGCCTCCTCGACTACTTCAGGGACACCCAGCTGTGCTTCCCTCCTCGGGACTGACGCTGCATGTGAAATACCCGGAAGAAAAGAGGGATGGTCGCCCCGATCCTCAGGTAGCGACACGTCAACTCAAACGCCCAGATGAAGGCGAGCGAGTTTGGGTGCAGCTGGGACGGGGCCAGCTCCAAGTGCATAAAGACCCCGGTCTGAAAATCAGTGAACGGCAGCCGCAGTCCTAAGTCTTTAAACGCGATCTCATACATCGCGAGGCTGTAGTTCGGGTACACCGAGCAAATTCTTGCATTGGTCGACGGAAGCATGACCACGAAGTTCTGCTGGAAGTCGGGCTGGTCTTGACCCTCTTCAATGACAGTGAATGGATGTCGGTCATCCCGGCTATATATCGACGCTGTCCCCCGGGGCTCGACACCCACCCATTCCAGCAATGGGTCGGTCACGGTATCTATCAGGGAGGCCGACTCGTCGGCACTCTGTTCTTCGCGATCACGACGTCCGGAGGAGCTCGGCTCGTCCGCCATGGTTACCTGCAGAGCACGGGAAACCAATCAGTTGAGCACGAAGTCCTATGCTCGACATAATCATGTCGTCCATACACGACTACACAAGTCCGTTTTCACAAGTGGATGCCTCCCCGACTCTCTTGAACCCAGTGTTCTTCCTCAAACCAACTGCGCGGCCACTCTTCAAGCATGTCGACCCGAGGTATGAACATGGCGAGCCGCACTATGAAGCCCACGGCCACGACCATAAACATACCGGGCACCGTCATGAATCAGGCGCCCCGGATCATGAAGACCTCGGGCAGCTCTGAAGTTTTTCACCTAAAACTATGAATGTGTCGGCCACAAGTATGCGTTTGCCGGTCCTAGACATGAATATGTCGGGCAAAACACGAATTTACCGGGCTAATCCCACGCGCACGGTCCTAAAACATCTACAATTTCCAGGAATCATGCATTCTAAAATGGAAAAATGAAGAAAGTAGATCACTTACTTGGATCAAAGTTTGGGATTTGGCTAAGAAATGGAAGAATCTGAGACGGGAAGTCGCAACTGGAGAAAGTGTTGAGAGCGGCAACGGAGAGAGCACGGAGAACGGAAAACGTATTATGGGGCCCAAGGATCCTATTTATAGTGATGACGTGGAATACCAAACGTCACCTCGTTCAACCACGGACTCCATCTCCTCGACGCGATGCTCCCAACGCAATGATGGCCCTACCCCCCTAGGGTGGCGGCACAGCTCTCGAAAGATGCCTCGTGTGCTCGACCGACGCGCCCGGTACGGATCCTCCACGCGTCCACCACCGAGGACGTCTCCGAGCACGACACGAGGAGGCCCATCGAGGGCCCACACCTCCATCCCGGGCACGAGACCTCAACGACGGAACAACTTGGTTTCAAGTCATGGCTCCTCGCAAAGGAACCACGACTTGGGGGGCTCCTGTTCTGGACTGGGCCCGACAGGCCCAAAAGCATTTCTAAGGCCCAGTCCAAAGGGACTCACTAAGGACCACACTGGGCAAAGGGGGTCACATCCATGACCGACACCCTGATGTCTACCTCGACATCCCGATGTCCAACCCCACGCGGTGAAGTCGTGCTCGACACCCTGCCGTCCAGCTCCATGTCCTAGCGTCCAGCTCGACACTCGCTGTCCGGCTCGAGGTCCTGACGTCGAGCTCGGCACCGTGCTGCCCAGCTCGACATGGTCTCGAGCCACCCGGCTAGGGCAGACTCAGTCCACCGTTCCCCCAACGATACTCCGGAAAGACCGCGTCTCCGTCCGCCCGCACTTCACGCAGCACATCCAGGAAGGGGACCACGTGCGGGTCCCCACTACCCACGTAGAACCTGGCAGTTCCTCCATTGGGCCAAATCCGCCCGGCCCAATGAAGGAACCTTGGCCCAGCGCTGGGGGCTATAAATACCCTCTGTTTCCAGAGGGTCAGGTATTCATCATTCTAACCTCAACTCTATTATCTGCTCGTACTCCCACTGACTTTAGCATCGGAGTGCCTTGCAGGTACCCCCCCCCCCCCCCTCCTCGTTCAAAAAGCTTTCAGCTCGGAGCAAGCCGTGACGGTCCAAACCTTCTGATCAGGTCAGATCAGGTTAGAATTAAACTAGATGGCACATTGATAATTATTAAATAGTTAGAGGGTATTGTGGTAACTAGCATATTAAATAAGTGACTTAAAGACTTGTTTGAATGTACAAATCATTAATTTATTCCACAAATTCAAATTTTGAAGAGAGATTTGGGAGTAGAGAAAGTGAACATGAAAGGAAGGGAAAAAGGGAAGAAGATGAGTTCAAGTTCCATCATCTCCATGCATGTGCATACTTTTAGCAATCTTGGAGGAAGAACAAAGATCAAGAGCTTGAATAATCATCATCATCACCTTCTACATCTTTTCAAATCAGAATGAGAAGAAGAATGAAGGAGTTTAGAAGCAAGAGAGGAAGAACTCATGTTCATCATCAACATGTCTCATTTTCACACTTTTGGTACAACCTCCACTAAAAAGGTAATAACCCTTTACTCGTAACTTGGATATAAGTGATTCTGGACTTTTTGGAAAGTACTTGAAATTCTCTTTATTTTGCATATAAACTCTGTTATTTGCATATTTGTGATGAGGGAGATAAACGTGTTTGAAGATGAGGGAGGATCTAATGTTGATTTTTTGGTGAAGGCATGCATACGGGATTGATGAATTTGGAGGTAGAGCAATGATCAAAAGTGAAACTCAGTAGCAGCATTATCACCATCTTCATCTCTCCAACTCATAATCTCCAAGCTTGAGGTGAGTTTCATAGTTTGAATTTGGATAGGAATGGAGATTGAATTGCATGTTGAATGAGTTAGTGAGATAATACCTATAATGTGTCAGTGTTTGGGTTCTGTTGGATTCTCGTTGTTGCATGCATGATTAATTGATGGGAAAATGTGTTTTTTCATGCATGATTAATTGATGGAAAAATGTTGTTGTTGTTACCTCGTTTAAGCAACCATAGTTAAACCCCTTTTCTAATCGAGGTAAAAGATATTTTTTTGTAGTAGTGACATATGTAAATGATGCATGGTCTAAATTAATAATCTCTTGATATCATATTAAAATTAGAGGTTGACCTAATTCATCTCTAAAAAAGTAACTTTTAAAGTACACTTTATATAAACCCTTTCACTACTAGAAATACTTTGTTTTCGAGCGGATTAAAGGTAAAAATCCGCAGGAAACAAGTTACCTGCAATTTTTCCTGCCGTTTTAAGTTCTCAGCTAAAACGAAACGGAAAGCGTGGGTAATTCCACAAGTAATATATTTTGATTTTTTTTAATTTAAAATTAATGTGAATACTATTGAATTTACTACTAAAAAATATATTTTAACGTGAATACTATATAAACAATAATAGCATTCCCCATTCATGAGCCAAAAGAATTAACAGTGAAATTATGTAGTGGATATTGGTACAAGTAAGCACCAACTCTAATTAACCATCTTAAATTATGACAAGTAAGCTTCAGTGGGATTATAAATAAACAATGTGATCTTAAGTGCAAAACAGTGAAGGAATAATACAAACCAAAGAATAATAGATGTTAACCATCTTAATTTAAAACTCTAACATCAGGAAAAAAATATGTTTATAAAATTCAGCGGAAAAACTGAAGTCCTTAATAGTTTTTGCAGTCAAAGAAACCTTAATTTGGCACATTGAATAATTATATCATTATATAAAGAAGTTCTTTGTCCATAATTTCTTTATAAGATCATGACTTGAAACCTTTTGCCAGCGATGGAAGCATTGCATGAAATTCATGATCAGCAGCTCCCACAATGATTTTTGTAATGGTGATGTTATATGTTGGACTTGCGAGAAATATCCAAGGTCAAAAATCACATAAGCACTAGTGAAGTTAGACACTATTTTTCATTTTTTTATATATAATTTAGAGTGCAGTAAGTGATAACTTGATGATAGAAATGAAGATAATCAAAATATCAACTTAGTGTGTGATTCCCTTGGGTTGAACGGAGTTTTTCCTTGATTCCACAGCCGCATGATTCGGTGTAACACCCTAAACATTCGGTACAACAGATGGAATGTTCAGTACTGCAGACGCAATATTTCGGTTCATCTGTTGCATACTTTGGTGGCTCAACTCTTCGACTCAACGCCTGCAATGTTCAGCACATCAACCAGAATATTCGATATAGTAGCTGCAATATCTCGATGTAGTAGTTGCGTAAACATTTGGTACAATATTAAAAATGGCAATTAGAGAAACCATATATGTGTTGTGAACTAGTTAACTTTGGAAAGGTCTGTTGCATGAACATACTGCAGTTTAGTTATAAAAGCATAACCTAATATGAGACATATTGTTGCAATGTGCAAGGCATCAATGTGTATGCAAGGCATAAGATGGGTTGAGGATAAATGTTGGTTATGCAAGAATAATAGTTAGCCAAACTCATGTTAAAGACTAAAGATAGCTCAATCCAATTAACTATTAAAAATCAAATATGAGTTTACAAAAGACAAATTGAAACTAATTTCTGCATCTTAATTTCTGTACAAACTGACTCATTTGCATAACATAACATAACTATAGAGCTATATTCACATCACAATTCAATTCATCACTTAGCAATCAAACAAAAGTTAACAATTCACTTGACAAATACCTGAGTACAAAATTAATCAAGGAACTAATTAAACATTATTACTATGAATGTAATAATAGAGGAGGTGGCTAAATTTTGGGCTTACTATTTGCATCCACTAGTAATTTCTAAAATTTATTCTATTTAGCATGTTTATATATATCACACATGACCATATAGTCAATTAAATCATCTTTTGTTAATGGTTATGTTGCAATTACAGGAGCCTCTATGGCAGGTCCAGTAGCAACTATGCATTCAAAAGCTAAAATCAGAAAAAAGGATCAATAAACCAAATGAGCTCAAAAACTATTCACCAAATTCAAACTTCCCACCACAACATAATAATCCAAAGAGAAATCCGAAGAGTTAAAAAAATTTGAAAAAAGCATTACCTTTCCTGGAGCAGCTCCCAGAAAATAATTGCAAAGCTAAAAACATCATCTTTGTGATCATATGGTTTATGCTCAAAAACCCCCCATATGTTCCAATTTCTGCAGTCATTATACCAGACTGATTGTGCACTCTAGCTACACCAAAATCAGCAACCTTAATACTTTGAAAAGTTTTTCAAAATATAAGCACAACAACATAACTTCATATAATTCATAAAAATCCATCACTAACACCTCTACACATAATTAACCAAACGAAAAACATCACAATAAATTGATCATATATCAAGCAAAACAAAGAGACAATGCACATGTTTATTAACAGCAACACAGACCTGTTAAAGTGAATTGCCAAAGTGGGGACACGCATTATAGGCTCGTCAATTCTAACAAGGAGATGAAACAAAACAAGCAAATTCTACTCATCCACTCTCAATTTAAGGGGTTAAGTGATAAAAATAAAAGTTTAAGGAGTAAAGTTAAGAAGTGCATACATTTCAAAGTGGAAAATGTATTCTAAACTAAGTTTAAACAGAGAGCTAGTAACTCAGAATGTTATATGCTACTTCTTCCTTTTCTTCAAAGAACAATTTCGCTTAAAAATAATAATTGACATGAAAGCACAGTTTCTGAAATCATAACCAAATTAATCATCTCTAACTGATATTAGTCAGAATCTGATACTGTAAGCAAAAAGGAATCTAGGACATTTTTTCTTCATTTGAGTAATAATGGCCCCTATTTTCACAAGTTATATCACTACGCCTCTTGCCGTTGATAAATTGGACGGTACTAACTATGATTCTTGGGCTTCCGACGTCAAGTTATGGCTCTGGGGACAGGCCTATGAAGATCGCCTCACTACGAAGGCTGACTCGGTGGCTGCCACTGATAGTGCTCGTTGGAAGAAAATTGATGCTCAACTCTGCAGTCTTATTAAGTCGACCATTAGTCCATCCTTGAAACAGATCTTTCGTTCTCATGAGACTTGCGAATCTGTTTGGGCACAGGCTAAGATCTTTTATACCAATGATACACAACGCTTATATGGAGTGTGTCAAAATTTGCAGAATATTATTTCCCCTCGTCACCCGGATGGTTCTATGGCTGAACACTTGGGCCGTGTTCAAGGTCTTCTTCATGATTTCAATGAATTATTGCCCCCAGTTGCTACCACTACTAAGGAACTTGAACAACGTCGATCCTTCTTCATGCTTCTAGTTCTGTATGTCATACCTCCATAGTATTCGTCTGTTCGCGATCAGATATTGGGATCTCCTACAATCCCCACTCTGGATACTGCATGGTCTACTTTGCTGCGTGTCCCAACAAAACCATCATCCGACGGCGGAGTCCCACCCACACCTCCACAGGCTGCTACTCTGACTGATTCTGCCACCTCACCTGCTATCTTCAACGATTTTATCAAGTGGTATGAGGAGCATCAGGCCGCTAGTTCCACTGCCTCTGTTGCGCACACGGGTAATTCTTTTGCTGGTCTTTCTCACTCCACATCCCTTGGCCCATGGATCCTTGATTCAGGCGCCATTGATCACATTACTGGTAATAAATCTCTTTTTTCTTCATTCTCTACTTCTGGTTTATTATCCTTTGTCACATTAGCAAATGGCTCCCAAACTCAATCTCAGGGTACTGGTACTATCCACCTTTTTCCCTCGCTCTCAATTACTAATGTTCTTTATGTACTGGGATCTCCGTTTAACTTATTGTCTCTAAGTCATTTGACTAGATCTCTTTATTGTACTATCTCATTCACCAAAGATTCTTTTTTTTTTTTTGCAGGATCGGAGTTCGAGACGGATGATTGGCACCAAATGTGAGTCTAATGGTCTTTATCTTCTTCAACCATCTGCACATGTTGGTTCCGTGGTGGATTCTCCCCTCCTGGTTCATGCTCAGTTAGGACATCCAAGTCTTGCAAAGTTACAAAAGTTGGTGTCCAACCTTTCCAAGTTATCTACGTTGTCTTGTGAGTCTTGTCAATTAGGAAAACATGTTCGTAGTTCTTTTCTGAGTCGTGTCAATTGTCATTCTAAGTCTCTGTTTGCTCTAGTTCATTCGTATGTTTGGGATCCTAGTCGCATTGTTTCCACTTTAGGGTCTAAGTATTTTGTTACATTCATTGATGATTATTCTCGATGTACCTGGTTATTTTTAATGGAAAATCGATCGGAGTTATTTGCTATTTTTCAAACATTTTATAATGAAATCAAAAATCAGTTTGGTATATCCATTAGTACTTTGCACAGTGACAATGCTCAAGAATATTTATCTACTCAATTTCAAACTTTCATGGCTACTAACGGTATGCTTCATCAAACGTCTTGTGCTCACACACCACAACAAAATGGAGTCGTTGAACGTAAAAATAGACACCTAGTTGAAACCACTAGGACACTCTTACTTCACAATAATGTTCCTCAACATTTTTGGGGTGATGTTGTCCTTACGGCTTGTTATCTCATAAATAGGATGCCATCATTTGTCCTCAACAATCAGATCCCTCACTCTATTATATTTTCTCACCAGTCTCTTCACCCATTACAGCCTAGAGTCTTTGGGTCTACATGTTTTGTCCATAATGTTAGTCCTGGGCTAGAAAAACTCTCAGCTCATTCTCATAAGTGTGTGTTCTTAGGCTATACACGATCCCAAAAGGGATATAAATGTTACTCCCCTATCACCCATGTTTTCTTCATCTCCCACTACTGCCCCACCAAACGTAATTTTGTCTCCTTTGCCAGCCAATCCACCCCCATTAGCTCCTTTGCAGGTTTATCAGCGTCGACCACGGCCACCTCCACTACCATCCACAAATGCAGAAATCACCATAGACTCCCCTCCAGATCCAACTCCTCCGTCCCCTACGGTCCTTCCCCCTGAGACTGATCTCCCAATTGCACTTCGCAAAGGTATACGTTCCACTCGTAATTTATCTCCTCATTATGTTAATTTGTCTTATCATCGCTTGTCTTCTTTGCATTATGCTTATATTTCCTCTTTGTCTTCTGTGTTTATTCCCAAGACTGTAAGTGATGCTTTATCTCACCCTGGATGGAAACAAGTTATGCTTGATGAGATGTGCGCTCTTCAGAACAGTGGCACGTGAGACCTTGTTCCTCTTCCTCTTGGAAAATCTATTGTAGGTTATAAGTGGGTTTTCACAGTCAAAGTTGGGCCTGATGGACAAGTTGATCGTCTCAAGGCACGTTTAGTGGCCAAAGGTTATACACAGCTGTTTGGCCTAGATTATGGTGACACCTTCTCTCCCGTGGCTAAAATGGCCTCGGTTCGATTATTTCTCTCTATGGCAGCTATTCGCCACTGACCCCTTTACCAACTTGACATCAAGAACGCATTCCTCCATGGTGATTTGTGTGAGGAAGTTTATATGGAGCAACCTCTTGGGTTTGTTGCTCAGGGGGAGTCTTCTGGACTAGTTTGTCATCTTCATAAGTCTTTGTATGGACTTAAGCAATCTCCTAGGGCTTGGTTTGAGAGATTTAGCACTGTTATTCAAGAGTTTGGTATGACGCGATGTGAAGCTGATCATTCAGTGTTTTATCGTCACTTAGTTGTTGGGTGTATTTACTTAATTGTGTATGTGGATGATATTGTCATTACAGGTAATGATCATCATGGAATCACACAGGTAAAACAACACCTTTGTCATTATTTCCAGACAAAAGACCTCGGCAGACTTCGTTATTTCTTGGGCATAGAGATTACCCAATCCAAATGGGGGATTGCGATTTCACAAAGGAAGTATGCTATGGATATTTTGGAGGAGACAGGACTGTTAAATTCCAAGCCAATTGACACTCTGATGGATCCTAATGCTAAACTTATGCCAGCTCAGGGGGAGCCACTCTCCGATCCTGGAAAATATAGAAGATTAGTTGAAAAATTGAATTACCTCACCGTTACTCGCCCAAATATTTCATTTCTTGTTAGTGTGGTAAGTCAATTTCTTAACTCTCCTTGTGAAGGGAATTGGGAAGCTGTGATTCGCATCTTGAAATATATTAAAGGAGATCCAGGAAAAGACTTACTCTATGAAGACAAGGGACACACTCGAGTTGTAGGATACTCAGATGCAGATTGGGCAGGTTCTCCTTCTGATAGGATATTCACCTCAGGTTATTGTGTTTTCTTGGGTGGTAACTTAATTTCCTAGAAGAGTAAGAAACAAAGTGTAGTGGCAAGGTCAAGTGCGGAATCAGAATATCGAGCCATGGCAACAACAACCTGTGAGCTTATATGGCTTAAACAATTGCTTCACAACCTGAGATTCGGGGATGTTTCACAGATGACACTTATTTGTGATAATCAGGAAGCTCTGCATATTGCATCAAATCCAGTGTTTCATGAGAGAACCAAACACATTGAGATTGATTGTCATTTCATCAGAGAGAAGATTTTATCTAGAGATATCAACACTAGTTTTATCAATTCAAATGATCAGTTAGTTGATGTTTTCACCAAGCCTTTAAGAGGTCCTCGAATTAATTATATTTGTAACAAGCTTGGTGCATATGACATATATGCTCCAGCTTGAGGGAGAGTGTTAGATATCGGAATATTTCATATTATGTAAATAGAATATTCTATAAGTAATTAGGATATCATGTAAATAGGAAATAGAATATTATGTAATTATTATAGAATATTATGTAATTACTATGGCATTTATGCCTCCTATTATATATAATGAGCTTCGATGTGTAATTCACACACACGGATTCAATCCAACCTTCCTCTTGTTCTCTCATTATTCAACAGACATGATAATGCAAAGCAATAGGAATGAAGAAAGTATGACTGAACAATAGCAACATAGATGCAAAAAAGCATATGCACCGATAGTCGGAAGTCCGACGTGAAAAACTATTATGGTTGTTGTTGGAATATGCCTTAAAACCTTTGTTGATTAAGAGAAAAAAAATATATTTTAGAGATTGCATATACCATAAAATCGGGAGTTCCAGAAAGTTGATCAAAAAGTCGAAAAATCGAAAATCTGGAAAAGTCAGTCCGGAGGGGCCGAAATCGGAGGTCGGCCAGAGCTCTGGCGAGGTAGTGGCGGGGGCGGATTGAAGTCTCCGGCGGGTCCTTACTGCCGGAATCAGGCGGTTGGCGGTCTGTACGCGGGCGGTCGATTTCGAGTTTTTCTAACTTTTTCGACAATTTATAGTTTTGCGTGTTCTGGGCTCTTTCAATTCGGTCCATGAATCTGTGATTGGTTTGTGATTTTGGGCCCTAGTTGTTGGGTATTTGCTATTATAAACATGTATCTCTTATATGCTGGCCGGTGTGACAATCTTAGAGTTTACAATAACAAGGGAGAGCAGGGGTTTAAAGGCATAGCATAGGGTTGCAAGGGTTTTGGAAACCTAATTTCTTGTATTTTCTTATATTTTCTTGTAACTCATCTGTAATCTCTTGTAACATATGTAATCTCTTGTAACTTTCTGAGTATAGTGAATTGAAGAGCTGCTCTCTCTTTCAGAGTAGATCATTTGATCAAACTGATTAAACAAACTTTCGTCTTTTTCCCACCTTATTCTGTTATATTATCTGTGTACAGATTATTATTGCTATAGACCATTTATTTTGGTTGCTACTATTTTTTGTCTCACAAATTAATATTGAATTTTGTTCACAACAATTACATATAATGTAGATATGAATAAACAATATTATAATACTTTTATGACAATAACTAGATTTCATAGCTCGTTTTGGACCTACACCTTAAGTTGGCTTACTACAACAAAATATAACACAATATTGTAAGATAGATTCTTGAGAGAATAGGTCTTAAAAGCACCATAGTATAACAAAGTAAGATTTTTTTTGTTCACAATGACCCAAAAAAATTAAAATCATTAGAGAAATTGAAAGTTTCATATTAGTCATTCTAAGCTAGAAGTCAAGTATTTACATTTACCCCCTTTTTGAATAGATCTCCTCTTTATAGATATATCACCTCAAGAAGATTTACATCTTCTAATTGAAATAACTCCTGTTAAACCAAACAAAATCAATAAATATAAACAAGTCAAATTTTGATAAAGTAACAAGTCACAAGAATTAGATTTGAAAAAATCCGTCAAACCTTACCGATTCGGTACCGCATACCCATGTTCGTGTCACCCCAAATGAGTGAATCTAACACCAAACAAAATGTTGAACACAAAGCTGTGCTCAATTGAAAATGCAAATGATCAGATATAGAGCAATCAGAACTCTAGATCTACGTAAAAAACCTGAAAATGAGAAAGCATGTTGTCTCAAATACCATCACTGATTTGCTGCAGCAAAATGAGTAGAATCTAATGGTGGAAGTATGGATCTGAATAAAATTTGATAAATTGAAATGAAGATGATAAGAGGTGGCTTACTACAATGATGAAGAGAGAAAGAGTTTCAGTAGTGAATTGTTCAAGATACGAAAACTAATTCATCCACATGAATCACGAGAGATGAAGAGTATGTGAATATAATCTATATCTATGACCCGACATCGCGGTGGTTGGAGTTGTTATATGATGGTGATCTAGGGTTTTTCAGGGGAAGAGAGAGGACATCTAACGTAACATCAGGACACAAAGCACACGAATACTTTACTCTTCTTTTTAGCCAAAATATTAACAAAAACTGGAATAAATGTACACAATAGAAACACATAGCATTTTGGAATATATTGCACACAGGCAATAACACAAGTGAAACCAAACAAATTCTTAGTCAGCTTTAGGTGGTCTTCCACCTCTTCCCTCTATCAAAGATCTTTCTACATTCTTTGATGTTGTAGTCAGCCCCACTGTCTAGCAGAACATCTTCCTTCCAGCCCTTCTCAATAGCAATTTGTCTAGGCATGTCATGCCTTAGATTATAGAGGAAAGATGCAGTAACGGTTGCACTCCTCCATATTTGTAATTATTATAACTCCTTGATAGTACAAGTTTCAATTCCACTGTCTTTGATAACAGTAAGTTGTTCCTTGTTGTCCATATTCTCCATAGTCTCCTCCTCTCTTTTAATAAGATCTTGATCAGTTGATTACAACTACCAAGATCCTTGTTTCAGCCATGTTGAATGAGATATCTAAAAGAACTCAGATCTTCACTATGAAATGTCATGACATCTCTCTTGACGTCATGTCTCTTCAACACTGGTTCAAATAAACTTCCTCTTGTTTCTCTCAAGGCAACACATCGACATGTATTTGCTATCTTATGTTTCAATTCAGTGATGTTACCTTTATCAGAGTGACTTGTAGTCAGTTTCCTGGATTTTTCTATTTGTCCTTCAGTAGACAGACCTTTGCTGGTTTGAGAATTCATTGATTCAGTATTTGTGAATTCACAAATTTCCTCTCTTAGTGCTCCATCAGTTTTCACACGGGATGTTCCATCGTTGTCTCTAACATCCTTCTTCTCTTCAGCAACTGAATCATCAACTACCATATTGATAGATTCCAAAGACATTTCAGTTCTGGAGTTAAAAACTCTATAAGTTTCGCTCTTCGAAGAGTAACCCATAAATATCCCTTCGTCCCTTGTGGGATTCTTCTTATCCTTTTTACCTTGGTCATTCAAGTAGTAGCATTTAATTCCAAATATATGAAAGTAATTAACTATAGACTTCATTCCTTTCCATAGCTCATAAAGAGTAGCTGAAGTATCTCTCCTCAAAGTAACCTTATTCTAAATATAACAAACAATATTCACAGCTTTAGCCAAAAAATCAAATGACAATTGTTTAGCATTAAGCATGACTCTAGCTAATTCTAGAATCTCCTTGGTCACTTGTTCAACAATTCCTCCTTGCTAAGAGCACTCATAACTAATATTGTTAGAAGCACAAAATTCAGATAATTTTATATTCTCAAACTCTTTGTCATGTTCACTTCTAATTTTAACAATATCATCATTCTTCTCTTCTTGAGTACTCTGACACAAGTCTTTGAAGACCACAAAAGCATCTGATTTTTCTCTCAGAAAATTTATCTAAGTATATCTAAAAAATCATCTATAAGCACATAAGCATACTTCTTACCCCCATACCTTCAGCCTACATTGGTCTCATTAAGTCCATGTGAATAAGTTCTAACCTTCTGGAAGTAGTCTGATGCTGCAACATTTGGGTGACATCATGGATTGAGACTTAAAATCACACTCATCACAAACTACCCCTTCTTTAATATTTAGCTTTGGAATTCCTCTAATGACTCCTTCAGATAGTAATTTCTTCACTCTTTTGAGATAAAGGTGTCTAAGTTTATTGTGCCATAGCTTTACTTCATCTTTATTGGTTTTTGACCATGAAAAATAATAAGCATTTAATTGAGATTCCCTTAAATAACAGTTGTCCTTAGACCTTCTACTCTTCATCAACACAAAAAATTTCTCATCTTTGACTAAGCATTCTGATTTTAAGAAAATGACTAATGATCCCTGGTCACACACCTGACTCGTGCTAACATTTTCCAAACTAGAAGAACCATCACACATCAGCTTCCCAACTCCTTTGATTTCACCATTGAATCCATCACCAAATCTTACAGAATCAGTGGCATGAGACCTAATATTCAGCAAAAACTTCTGAACTCATGTCATGTGGCTAGAGTACCCATTGCCAACATTCTTGTTTTCTTTATACGAGTCTCTTAAGGAAGTATGAGCAATAAAGTCCATATCTCTATTTTCAACGCCTCTCTTTTTCCTCACTTGCTCAGCCTTAGAATAAAATGAAGATTTTTGATCTCCATATAGTTTATAACATAAGGGCTTTATATGACCATGCTCACCACAATAATGGAAAATCCAAGTTGATAATTAAAATCTGGTCAATGCTTTATCATATCTTCTAGAATATTGTAACATGTGGTTGGACATGTTGGTTATTCTCTTACTTTCAGAAGGAAGAGACTTCACCACAGTCGGTCTTCTTCCATCAAATTTATAGTCACCTCTTGTATCTCAAGTCTCTTCAATCATAGCAACTCTATCTTCAAAAAAATTTAATGAGTCTGACATGTTATTAATCTTGGAATTTAGTAGAGTTACCTCACTTTGAAGATGAGATACAGTTTATAGAAGCTTCTTCTTTTCATTCTCCAAGTTAGCTATGATCTTTCTCTGATCTTCCTGTGTTGTGATATTTGCTTCACACCTGTCACGTGTATATTTGTATGATGTATCAAGATCTTCATAGAGAATACTATCATCATAAGCTTCCACTTCATCTGTCCATCTTCCAGAAGAAGCCAACACAAGTTTTGTAGATTCATTGTTTGCCTCATCTTCTGATTCATCATCATCATACTAAGATGTTGGTGTAAGCCCTGGAGGCCAATACTTTTGGTACTTGTATCAAATTATTTATTAATAATAAAAGGAATTTCTTTATTATGTTTTATTTTCCAAAATAATAAAGGCCCTAGAATAGTTCGCTTGTTTAATGAAATGTTAAGTGTGACTTAATCATGAGATCTCATTAAACATAAGAACATTATTCTTAAAGTATTTATAGTCGAGCTTTATTGTGAAGTGGGATAATATTAAAGCATTGAGATTATCATGTAGATAGAGTGATGATCACATCTCACAAGTCTTGACATAGGTATGAATATTAGAAGTAATATTTATACTAAATTGACCCGCTATAAGAATACTACATAGAATGTTATGTAAAGTGTCATAAATTTTTCTCATGGTGATAAGTGGTGTATACCACCCTTCGACCTGAAACAGCTATGGAGCCTAGATGTAGAGTCAAGTGCTTTATTCGTGATCAAACATTGTCTGTAACTGGTTGACCATAAAGACAATTGATGGCTACTTCACAAAGCATGCTGAGGGACATGAGTCATTGTGATGCGGTGGGAGAACTGACTTGAGGTTTTGCGTTTGTGTTTGCAAATGTTGCGGTTAGCAAGAGTCGCCACCGACTTTTCTTTTATCCAAAAGGAAAGGTAAAAAAGCACAGGAAAAACCTTTGAGATTGTTTTTGGGTTCGGGGGGTAGATTATGAAAAGGGAAGGTGCTAGCACCCTTTCCATCCATGGTTTTCTATAGGCTCTTAGTTACTTGTTTAGATCACTTGCTTTTGCTTTGAAATTGTTTGAATGGTGCTTTGTGTGGTTTTGAAAGTATTTTGAAAAGAGGTCATCGTTTAGGCAATCTTTGTAATGATTCTCGTTCGTAAGAATGTATACAAAG